ATTTTATAATTTTTTGATACATATTGTCAAAGTATACGAGTTGCTTACAGCAGTATGAATATCTATCTTCTTGTCGAGGACTGTAATTCGTATTTTAAAATGGGAAGCTGTAGATCTGTTTATTGTGTTTGATCGGTACACATTCACATAGAAATTTTGTAAGTTGGAGTCATATCTGAGTCATTAGAGTACAGTCGCAGTTTTGAAGACCAAAAAAAAAATTGAGACCGAGTCAACACATTAGATTTTATGCTTCCTATATAGCGAATATCCAAATGACGACAATATATCTGGAAACTGAGCCAGAAAAGACACACATGTCCAAGCTGAAGGAGAACGTTGCGTTGGAAACTATACCTACAGAGGAATCAGTAAATTCTTCATCACCAATTTGGAATTTTATTCAACAGTTATCAAAGAAGTTAGATGCTTTGGGGGTAGAAACGAGAGGTATAGAAAGAATCGAACCGTATGAGAGATCCACAAACAAAGTCAAGCAATTGATATCTGTTATTGGATTATGGTTGTCCGCCTGTGGTGGTTTAAGTTCTATGTCTACATTTTTATTGGGGCCATTAATTTTTGAATTAGGATTAGAAAAATCTTTAGTATCAAGTTTAGTTGGTCAAGCAATCGGATGTGGTATTGCTGCATACTGTTCATTAATGGGTCCAAGATCAGGCTGTCGTCAGATGGTAAGTGCTAGATTTTTATTTGGTTGGTGGTTTGTAAAATTAGTCAGTCTTGTAAGTATTATTGGGGTTATGGGTTGGTCTGTTGTGAATAGTGTCGTTGGGGGTCAAATATTACAAAGTATGAGTGACGGAAAGGTTCCTCTTGTTGTTGGTATTATTATTGTGGCAATCATATCCTTATCTGTCGCAATAGGTGGTATAAAGCACCTATTGAAAGTTGAAACATTTTTGAGTATTCCTGTGAATCTTTCGTTTTTATTATTGTATGTTGTTGCTTCCCAAAAATTTAACCTTTTATCAAATCTTGACAGCGAAGACATTAGGGGCATGTCCGATACGATTAAAGGCAACTGGTTATCATTTTTTTCGTTATCATATTCAACTACGGCGACATGGGGCTCGATAGCTTCTGATTACTATATATTATTCCCAGAAAATACCCCTGATGTACAGGTTTTTTGCCTTACTTTTTTTGGTATCTTAATCCCAACAACCTTTGTTGGTGTCCTTGGATTACTTATTGGTAATGTTGCATTATCATACAAGCCTTGGGGAAATGTCTATGAAGTTTATGGTATGGGTGGTCTATTGAATGAAGCCTTTAAGCCATGGGGAGCAGGGGGTAAGTTTTTACTCATGATCATTTTCTTATCCTTGGTCTCAAATAATATTATAAATACTTATTCAGCTGCTTTTGGAGTTCAGTTGGCAGGTGTCGGATTTGCTAAAGTTCCAAGATGGATATGGGCTTTTGTATTGACAGCAGTATATCTCATTTGTGCGTTAGTTGGAAGAAATAAGTTAGCTACTGTTTTAGGGAATTTCCTACCAATGGTTGGTTACTGGATATCTATGTACTTCGTAATGTTACTTGAAGAGAATTTGATTTTCAGATCCAAGAGATTTATTCATTTATACACCAAGGAGTTTGCCGACGATGATCTGCAGGAATCATTAGCGTCTGGTGCTAGTTTAATTAAATCTAAAGAATCGAGACGCAACCAATATTACAACTTTAAAATCTGGAATGATTATGATAAATTGAGTAGAGGCCTAGCAGCCACTGCTGCATTTATTGTCGGTGCAGCAGGTGCTGCTATTGGTATGGCCCAAGTTTATTGGGTCGGTCCTTTAGCAAGATTATGTGGAGGTGAATTTGGAGGTGATATTGCAATGTGGTTATGTATGGGTCTTAGTGGTATCGTTTTTCCATGGTTAAGATATTGGGAACTAAAGAAATTCGGTCGTTAAACGTTAGAGTAGAACTATATAAATGTAATTTAAAGGTCTTTAATTTTGAAGCTATGGGTTTTGTATTCTTGATCGTAAATATCAGCTGCTATCTCCACCCCGCGAAAATGTTCTTATCATCAAAAAAACAGATACTGAAAATCTCGGGTACCTAAGCGATATTAAAGTATCAATTACATTTCTAAAGTCTTATAACAAACATGAAGTCTCCTAAAGGCAACGAACGAGAAAATGTACTATCAAGATATAGACAGGATTATTCAGATTATAATATTTTACCTTCCTATCATATGGATAAAGGAATAGTTAAAAAAAAGCTAAATCCTGGAGACGAAGTGTACCAATTTAATCATGAACCACCAGCTTATAATTCATCAGCGTCCCTTGACCCTACTATGTCCGCTCAATCTTTTAATTCGTATTCAGAGAATACAGTTACTGTGCTTGATAATTTGGATTCATTAACCTCTTTGCAAGGTATGGTAAGGCAAGATATTTTCTTCACTAAGGATGATCTGAAGGCAATGGGCAAAACAGTAATAATAGACAACGAGACTGTAGAATATGATCAAGGAGATATGATAAGAGGATATATTACCATTGAAAATTTAACTGCTAAGGCAATACCATTAAATGTCTATTATGTTCTTTTCCAAGGTATTTATCGCAATGATCATAAATGTGAAAATTTCATTCAAATGGTAGATTTCAAAGCATCATTGAATTATGACGGGGTCGAAACTCTTATTGATCCGGACGATGGAACTTATTTAACTATGGGATCTACTTTATTACCGCAGATTAAGTACAAAAGATTTTTTACATTTAGAGTACCTTCCAGCTTACTTGAATATGCTTGTGGGGCTCACTTGGGGAAGCATTTGCAAGCGCCGCCAAGCTGTGGGGAGGGTATAAATGATTTAATGCCCGCAAAGATAAGATATAACGTCAGAAGTGCATTGATATGCAACAAGAATAATGAGTACTACATGTTAGCTGATACGAGTAAGCCTGTCAGAATAATACCAAGACCTGATATTCACGTCAAGGACAACCACAATGGTCTAACATCGATGTGTCAATCCTTGCTGAATGAGGTAGAACGGGGGCTTTCCTCGTCTGGCGGGAGGTATTCAAAATCGAGATACAGGATTGGAACTTATCTAGATCAGCTTCAGTATAATCATACGGAGAATAATGAGTTTTCAACTGTGCTGAAAAATAAGCGAATAGCTGCCACCGTTCATAACAGGGAGTACAAATTCAAGTACTATCCACCATCTCTATGCCATATTCATCAAACGCTAGATATTCCAGTTCAATTGGTATACAACTCAAGCATCGACCCTTTACCAATGGTAAAACGGGTGTCTTGCGAGCTAGTGGTCGTATCAATCAATTCCACGGACTATTCAATACCTCAAGAAATAGATCACAGTATGTTGTTCTTGAAACAGACAAACCTCACCTACGATGACTTGGTCATACGACCAGCCATTATGTTACTTAAAGAGATTAACAAGATTAGAAAACACGTCCCCAGCTTTACCCCAGAACCTCGATTGATGGCCGATTTGAAGTCCTTAAGTTACCTATCAACATCATATGTTACTATGTCGATAGACACGAACGTCATTCTGGATTTCACTTACCCACTGGAAGGTCAACATACAAGAAGTATCCATTTGCACCTTAACCTAAACTCTATGTATCTTAAAGATCTGGACAAAGCCATCAAATCTAACAGATTTGGGAGCTTTTGTTTACTCCCTAGCTTTCAATCGTGCAAATTGGTTAGGTTGTATTACATGCGGGTGACTCTTCATTTGCACAACGAAGATTTAGTGATTCATGTGCCAATAACTGTAGAATAATAAAGAACAATACGGAACATATATTCTATGCATTCTTGAGATTTCGCAGTCAAAATTTCTAAGTGACTCATGATTACAAATCTAATCAATTACGATAAACTAAATACGATATAGTATGTAAGTCATAAGATAGGCGTTTATTTACTATAAATATAACCACAAATCGTGGTATAGTACAATTTTGTTCCATCCTTTTATTTTAAATTCTAGTAAGTCGAAATATATATATTAATATTCGGTATAACCAGAAATTAGATAAAGATCAATGGTATCAAGATCTAGAGAAGACTTATAACCTGATGAGTCAGGTATTATAGATGTTGATGGCCCACCACCTGCTGTGGATAATCAGAATTATTTTAGTCAAAAAGACATAGAGTTGACGAAAAATACTAATGAAGCCCCCGTGTGGAATATACTACCTTCGTATCATATGTACACTACTACTATATATAAGAGCTTTAATGTATCCAATGAAAGTTTGGCGGAACCTCCATCGTACGAGAACTCTTCAATACATTCTAATAATCAGTTGTCAAGCGTGTCTACGGGGCGTTCAAATAGCACGGTTGCGCAAGGGTCTGGTTCCGTATCGACAAATACGTATGATAATTCTGGGGGATTGATAGTTGCAGATGAGGGTACTAACATGTGGCAAGAGACAATTCTTGATAACATTCACAAGCTCACCAACTTGACTCATTCTAATAAAGTAGTTTCGAATGCCATAAAAATATCGATAGAATTTACAGAGGAGGTGGGTGAGTTAGGAAAAAAACCGGTATTGATCGATCCTCTGCTTCATGAATACAAACAAGGAGATTTAATAAATGGATTTGTCATTATAAAGAATGAATCTAATGAGCCCATTCCATTTGATATGTTTTATGTGTTGTTTGAGGGTAACATTACGGTTTCGAATACCTTAGATATAAAGGATACGAACCCAACAAGAGTTGAGAAGTTTTTGCAAATGTTCGATTTTAGCGCTTCCTGGAACCACGCGCACATTAATAGGCTCATTACTGAGTACGCAAATCCGTATGAGTGTCCTTTGATATCAGACCCATATGATGATTCAAAGATGGCGTTCCCAGATCGAAAGATACTTCCTGGTGTTACGTATAAACGATTTTTCACTTTCAAAATCCCCGACAACTTATTAGATTCAGAATGCAACCATAATCTCCTGGAACATACACAAATACCACCTACACTTGGGAAATCCCGGTCAGAAGACTATGTTAATCTAGCCTATAAGGTTGAGAATTGTAAGACTAAATCGCTTTCGTTTGTCGATACTTCTATAAGCTACGGTGTACAGGCCAGATTCATTGGAAGAGCTTCGAAGTATAATGTTAAGAAATCAAAGAGAAATGATCCTGTTCTTATTAATTCAAAGGGAGATGAGTATGTTATTTTGAAAGAAGCTAATAGGTTCCTTAGGATTGTACCACAGACAAAAAATTTGACCCCAAACGAAAAGATAATTAAATGAAAAGGAAGTGAAATGCTTTACAACAATTTGATAAATAGATGTAAGGAAAAAATTAAAATTGGCCATGAATTAATACAATCAATTGAAAGTAATAAAATGGATAATGCTATTGAATTGGTCAACAGGTTATCAAGTCAAATATCTAACACGCATCTAAAATTTAATCAATTATATCATTCCACAGGTGGATATGAATGTAAAGGAAATATGATTGATGAACTCTGTGACCAAAATTATAATCTTATTTCGCCAATTACTAAAAAGTCAATCAGAGGTTCAGTCACACCAATAGGGACATTGCAAGTGTCAACTCCTAAATTAAATTACGCCTTAAAGTATATTCCACCAATGCAGTTTAGAGCGGCTTGCAGTGTGAATCAATCAGAGTTGGATACATGGAATTTAAAGGTTCCAATTGAGTTGACACTACGTGTTCCTCAAGTGTTATTTGGAAAGAAGAAAAAAGTTCCGACTATAAAATCTATTGAAAGTGATTTAGTCGTTCACTCCATAAAATCTGACAATAATCCTATACCAATTGAGATCACTCATGATTTGTTATTCAGAAACGAAGTAAATACGGATAGTGCATTGAACGACCGTGGTTTACGTGATCTGGATGATTTTTCAGCTATTGTTAAGTCACAGTTTAAAAGTTACTGCACCGAAATACAGAGAATATTTACACAATTACCGCCAGATGTTTTTAAACTTGAGAGTGAGCTAGTAAAAGATATTAAATGCCTCTCTTCGCTCAAGGAAAAACATATGAATTTACAGATCGAAGATTTGCAATATCAAGTTCCCGGTGAAAACGTACAATCAGCTAATTCCAAAAACTTGTCAAACTTGAATTGGACTCCTCAAGTCGCTAACGAGGAAGATCCGACTCAATTGGAATATAAATGTAAGTTTAGTTTATTTTTGAACGTTGCGAAAGCTCATCTTAAAGTAATTGGAACCTTTAAGAATGCTAATGCATTCGATACATTTTGCTTAGTTCCTAGTTTTCAATCTTGTTATATAGGTCGATTTTACTATTTGAAAATCAATATTTCTCTTTCAAATGGAGATAGTGTCCATTTAAAAGTTCCAGTTGATTTTGAAAAATAGTTAGTTAATATAATGTTATTTATTTCCAAAAGCGATAGTATTGTGAGGTTTCTTCCAACAGTCTTTACTATTTGAACTAACCAAAGTATACAGCTGCTCAGATCTCGGTGATGCTGGCTTGAATCACGATGATGACCGAATCCATTCCGACCGAACGTCCGAAGAATACGTGTCCTAACAATTCAGCTACTTCAACTGCACATTCGGCCCCTTAAGCCATCATTGTGCAGACGTATATTTCAGCACTGGTTGAATCATAAAATGCTGACCTCGTTTCACGTCCCCGAGATATTTTGTATCCATTAATTAATCTTGCCATCTATCATCATTAAGACTCAAACTCCATATTTGAGATCAATTGAGTCCGTAGCGTATCAGTTAAGCCCGTATCATATCAACCAAACCCAATTGAAACCAATTGAAACCAATTGACATGAATTGAAACCAATTGACGCCAATTGAAACCAATTGGTACAATATCGCAACTTAACGCACATCCATTAAACTCGAAAACACAATCATCACCAATTACGTCAATTGACCTAAATTTCGCTCAGATGAGCTTCTACGAAATCAATTCACCCAAATACATCTCTGTTTAATATATATTCATTCTCAGCACTTCAATTGACCCCAATTGACCCTACATTGCTCCTGGTCCATCGTGGCCCATGGCTCATCGAACTTCTCCCCTTCACGTCACACCTTTTCTACTCCCTGCTACTATTGTCTACCTGGAACACCACATAATAACAAGCTATAAGCAAATTCTTGAGGCATCACGTTTGACACTTGATCCATCTATCTCGACATATTACATCATGTGGAAGTATCCCAGAACGTTAGATTTATTCCATGATGTTCCGTCTGCGTCTTGCAACATTAATTGTACATCTCATCCCCTTAACCTATGACGAAATTCCGACTTAAGATTCTGTGACTACACGTAAATATCGGTCCATAGCCACATACATAGGTCTCTCTATTTTTAAAAAGCAAGTGAACGCACGGTGGTGGCTATTGTACTCTGTATTGTTCGGCCATTATTGTTATGAGCCCTTGTACATTTCGCAACCATTTTTAATTTCACGTTGGAGTCGTAGCAATAAAGATCATACTTTCAGCAATAATGTAAACGATGAATTGAGGTCTATTTAACTACGGAGAATCCAACCTGTCAGAAGCAAAAAGAAAGCATATATATTATAATTAAGTTTTTTAATATATTTAATATAACAATACAAATCAAGTAATATGGGATTCGCAGACAAAATTCAAAATAAGTTCAATAAGAAAGATATTGAAAACTACGACAAGCAAGGTGGTAAGCTCATCGGTAAAGATAACGTCTCTGGTAACTTAGATAAAGAAACAGTTACTGGTTACGCTGACCAAGCTGATAAGAAGGGAGGCCAATTCCTCGGTCGTGAAAACTTATCCGGTACCGAAGGTGGAATTGGAAGCAAATTTGGTGGAGGTAAATCCGCTGATGCTGCTGGCTCTTCGGGAGTTGGAAGTTCAGGTCATGGTAAGGAAGCAGCAGCAGGCACAGCTGGCGCAGCCGGTGTAGGTGCTGCCGGTGCCGGTGCTTATGGTGCTTCTCATGGCTCTTCTCATGGCTCTTCTGGTAAGGATGCTTATGGAACTAGTGGCCAAGGTTCTTCTGGAAGTGACGCTTATGGCTCGAGCGGTCAGGGTGCTTCCGGTAGAGATGCTTACGGATCCAGTGCTCAAGGTACTTCAGGAAGAGATACTTATGGCTCAAGCGGTCAAGGTGCATCTGGTAGTGATGCTTATGGTGCATCTGGTTCTCATGGTGCTTCTGGTACCCATGGCTCTTCAGGAAGAGATGCTTACGGCTCATCTGGTACTTCTGGTGCTACTTCCGGTAGAGATGCTTACGGTTCATCTGGTACTTCAGGTACTACTTCCGGTAGAGATGCTTACGGTTCTTCTGGTACACATGGTACTTCAGGTACTACTTCTGGTAGAGATGCTTACGGATCTTCTGGTAACGATACCTATGGCTCAAGTGGTCATGGTTCATCCGGTAGAGATGCTTATGGCTCTTCTGGTAACGATGCCTATGGTTCAAGTGGCCACGGTTCCGGTTCTGGATCTGGATCTGGAGCTGGTTCTCAAATCAAGGAAGCTGTTGCAGGTGCTGCAGGTGCTGTAGGCCTTGGTGGTGCCGCTTATGGTGCATCTAAGCACGGTTCTAACACTGATTCTCACGGTACTTCTGGAACTACTTCAGGTAGAGATGCTTACGGTTCCTCCGGTGCTTCTGGCGCCACTGGTTCCACCTCCGGTAGAGATGCTTATGGCTCATCTGGTACCCATGGTACTTCAGGTACTACTTCCGGTAGAGATGCTTATGGCTCTTCTGGTAACCACGGTACTTCAGG